CCCTGCACCATGCTCCAAAGCCACAGCCCCATGCTCACTGGCACAGCTCAGGGAGTGGGAATGCCCCTCACACTCAGCCCAGGCCCTCAGATTGATCAGTAACACTGGGGCCAGAGGAGTGGGGCTGGCAGCAGCTCGGGGTGACCAACGCTGTGCAGGATGAGTCCACGGCACCCAGGCACAGCACGTGGCAGGAGGGACCTGGGACACTGGGTGACCTCCCTGCACCTCATTTATTCAGGGACGAAGAACCTGTCCACTTTGGGCAGGAAACCTGTGCTAGGAGAACTGCTGCAAAACGATGGATTTTGGAGGAGGAGCTGCTCCCTGCACAGCTCAAGCATGGCAAGATGAAACCTGTGGAAAGGCTACTGGAAGAGCAGTGGGCAGAAGCCTGCAGTGAGCGAGCAGCCCGTGCCAGCAGGCAGGGCACAGGAACAGCAGAGGGTCCCCAGCCCCTGGGAGAGGGCTGGGCTGCTCTGCCAGGGCCTTTTGCTTCCTTCTTAGGGAAGAAGAAAGCATCAAGCTCCCACACCAGCCCCAGAACACCCTTCCTGCCCCTGAGCTTTGGGACTGCAGAGGAAGATCTTTAACTATTCATCACTCATTTCTGTGATTCTTCAGAGAGCAGAGTGGTACCTGCCCCAGCCTTCCCTGAAGCATTGTGCTGAGGAGCTTGGGCAGGTGGCACCAGCTGAAGTTACCAAAGACAGATGCTCATGTATCCTGGCTGGAGGTTTCTGGAACAGTCAGTTGAGGGGTTTTGTTGCACCCTTAGGTATGCCGACGTGTGAGCAGCTCAGAAAGGCACCAGAGCCACTGTGAAGTTGCAGGGACAGTGCAGGGTCCCTGCCAGCGAAGCACAGATAGCAGGCAGGGCCTGCAGCCCTGGCCCATGGAACCTGCAGTGGGAACTCATCCCACCCTGGGGAGCTCAGTGATGGTCCATCACGGCTGGATAGCACTGCCAAACCCACTCTCTACCCTGGCCTTCCTGAAGCCATCCCGATTTCCCAGGGCTCATGCTCACGGGACACAGGGCCTTCCCATGCTGCTGCCCAGCTCCTCTCTGAATCCCTCAGGAGTCACATCCTTTCTTCCCCCTCTGCCCAGACTGCAGAGCTGTCCCTCACACTCACAGGACCCCACACAGCACCCACTGCAGAGCTTTATCCCAGCAGCTTCCCTGTCCCGCATGGCTGCGCCGTGGGGCACCCACAGCCAAGCTGGGAAGCAGCACAGGGAGTGCCTGGAGAACAGTGGCACTGCAGGAGCACCAGGCTCCCTTCAAAACCTGTTTTTCCATAATTTCATTCCCCACACTCTTGGGCTGCAATGTGATTTCCTCACCTCTAGGCTGGTGTGCAGTTCCCAGAGCTACTGCGGCACAGAGGGTGCACAACTCTGCTACCTGGGAAGCATCTCTGCTGCTGGAGAATTTCACCCAAAGGCCTTGGAAACTATTACAAATTGACAACTGCAAAGTTACTAGATAAGAATCTTTAAAATTTATTGGACTAATTGTGTTACATTCAATATTTGATGTGTTTCTCCTGGACAAAGAATTGGCATAAATACAAACAAGCCTTTGTGTGCCTTCCCTAAACAAATAAGAGATAAAGTACTAGAGACAAGGGAACATAGTTCACATCTTCGTATTTACATTTTGCCTTTACTTTACAACTTAGCGCCAGGAATATTTACAGAAAAATACAATAAGAACAAAAAGTTCATGTCTTGGCAACATACAGGAATTCATACAAATTGTCTATGATTGAAGCACGTGATATCTGCGTTCTCACTTCGAACTGCTCCTGCTAACCCACTGGGAAAAGGGCTGTTTGCCTTCAAAGATCACTCAATTACACAGCCAGGAAATCGTATCAAATCTGTCTGTGAGCTGAAATTTAGTTCTGTTCCTGTGCAGGCAGAGCCCTGAGGGAGGAAACACTGTCACCCACGGAGAACAAGTGTGCACAGTCCCTGGGCAGCCAGGGCTGCTCCTCCCCACGGCCTCAGTGCCCACACAGACACCCCAGTGCCCACAGGCACTGTCCTCCCCCTCTCCTGCCTGCTGAGAGGTTCTAATGGCTTTTAAAAAGTGTCGTTAAAAGAAATGCTTTCCTTAAAAAGAGTATCTACTAAGGTAACTAAAATGTCTGTCATTTCGACAAGGTTGAACAAGATGAGAGTTGTCACACTGTTAGAACAGAACTGTGAACCCAAACTGAAAGGTTTGCTGAAGAGTCTCAGTTTAGTTACCATGGAACACTTGCAGCTCAGTGCCACCTGCAGAGCCTGAGCCAACATCCCCTACGTGCAGGGCAGCTGGGGGTCAGCACCTGTGACAGACAGGGACACTGGCCCAAGCCACTCCAGCATCATGTTGAAAACTATGCAGCAGTTAGTGATGTAAAAACATGTCTGGATCCTTGACTAACTCTTGCAATCACTGTGGAAATAAACCTCGTTTGCTCTGACCCTTCAGGGTAAAGCTCTCAAGGCTGTTCCCTGGACTAGCTGAAGCTTGGCCGACTCCAACAGGAGATGGATGAATTCTCAAACTGGTGCTATGCATTTTGTTATGAAGCCTGAGACCTCCCCACACACAGGGCAAGGAAGGACAGTCCCTGCAGTACAGCCAGGGCACCCACTGCTGTGACCAGCACCCAAATCACAGGGATGGCAGCACATTCTATCCTGAACTGCGACTCCCCCGAGGGCTCAGCTCAACAGAGAGCAATCCCACAGCCAGGCTACACTGCCAGCACAGCACTGCTCCCTGCCTGGTTCTGTGGCTCAGCTGACACAGGTTCTGAACACCCACCCCCGTGCTGGGAGCAGCCACAACCTGCCCCAGTTCCTTCTCCAGACTGCTGCCAGGTCACAGTGCTCTCACACCGTTACTGCTCCCCTGGCTGCCAATCCCAGGCGTTAGATGAACGTGGAAATAGATCCAAGACAGCCCTTAGCCAAGCACAGGCCATTTAAATAGCAGTCATTCTTCAGGCAGCCCACTTGGCTCTCCTGGCCTTGCTGGAAAAGGTGCAGGGTTTGCCCAAACGCCACTCTGCCTTCCTGCCTGCCAGCAGCACCTTGTGCAGCTCCTGCTGCACCCCCAGGGCTGTGTGGCACACAGCTGCAGTCTGCAGGGCTGTTCTTATGCTATCAAAGCTGTGCAGACACAGGATGGCTCAAGATGTTCATGGGATACACATGCATTGCTCATGCCTTTTAAACCAGTGGACTAAAGTGTGTTTGGCCATTAATTGGATCCAATAGGTACATACACAGTGTGGGTAAATTTAGTGTCTGCGCATTAAATTGCTACTGGCAAGAGTTTGGCAGAGGAATGAGGCTGTCCCAGCTCCCTGCACAGCTTGGCCAATGCACCCAGCTGCTGCCTTGGGGCTGCTCCTGCCATGTGCCAGCTGGGCAGCACACAGGCACGGCTGGCCAGCAGGCTTCCTGCTCCAGGAGTTCACTTTGGGCTGTCTCATTTTTCCACTTTTGATCGGTCTGGATCAAATTCCAGAGCTCCTGAGTTGAGAGGCCAGTGCACTCATCCCCTGCAACAAACAGCCCTTGCCTGAAACACCCTTACCTGACAACCCGAAGGTCCTTTCACATGTATCTTTAGGGGCCTGTGTTTCCATGAACTCTTAGTGAGAACATGGAAAGCCAAGAGCAGGGGCTGTCCTTGGCAGGTAAGTTGTAATCAAATAGGATTTTCAGGTCAGAACTGTTGCAAAAAGTAACTCTGAAATACCAAACTCAATGCCTGACAGGTATTACTTGAACAGCTAATAAAACCACTTTGGGAATCATGCGAGGAGCTCCTCAAATTCCTGCTCACAGTCACCCTCTCCCATCACCTGGCACTGGAAGGGGAAGGACCCGAGCTGTGAGCAGAGGCTGTGCTGCCCCAGGAGTGCCAGCCACGATTCCTGTTGGCAGCATCAGCTGGGATGTGCCCAGGGCTGCCAGCACCCACAGCATCTCAGAGTCCCAGCACCACACCTGCAGCTCTGAGCATCTTTTCCCAGCACATCCTCTGAACATCAAATCCACAGGCTGAGTGCAAACTCCTGACCTGGGTGGGAGGGAAGCACCACAGCCCAATGTGGGAACATACAGGAGATTCAAAACAACCTGCAGTTATAACTCCAAAGGGGCTTTCATAGAATTGCCAGTTACTGGGGAAAGAGGATTCCTGAATTTTCTTTTGGAGTTGTTTTAGTCTGTTTAACAGGAGCTCCTGAAAAGTGTTGTAGAAGCTGCGAAAACAGCTCATGCTATAAATAACAGGGAGGAGGCAGCCCTGGAATCTCAGATTTCAATCCAATGGAAGGAAGGCAAGTGATGTTTATGCTTTTTATGGAAATGGTGAGTAGGTGATACAGACACTTCAAAATAAATTAAGTAGTTGCATAAAAAAAAAATGAAAAAAAAATAAAAATCAAGCTCCCGAAATTAAATGTGACATTTTGCAACAGACCTGAAAGTCAGAACCTCACTTTTATATAACCAAAGCTCCTATCTAGCAACAACTCCTGTTGGAAAGGCAGGTAATTTCAGGTGGTGGTTGTGGTCAGCATCTCACAGGCAGATGGACTCACTCCCAGCCCTGGAAGGAACAGCCACACACAGCACCTGGGCTTTGGATTGCAGGGCCTGGTGCTTCCAAGCCATCTTCCTCCTATTGCTTTTGGTACACAAATGGGTTACAAGCAGTGAAGGATCTTCTGCTGAGTGCTGAAGGGGACCTAAATACTGCTCTGAAGTTCTTGCAGGGCTAGTGAATGCTCCGGAACAGACTCTCCTCCTCCCAGGAGAGCTCCTGCTCCCTCCCCCGAGGACACGTGGGCGCAGTGAGGTGTCTGATGGCAGGTTTGTTTGTGGCCTGTTTTCCATCCTCATATGCAGAGATGGCTTTGCTTTGATTGTTTTTCTCTCAGAGTGAGACACAGTTCCTAATTAGTCTGGAATGGATGATTTGGTGAAGGGATTATGTTGCTAGCATCCAGGAAGACTGGAATTCAGTAGGTGAATTAAGTCAGTAGCCCAACTGCACTGTTTTGGCTTCATTTCTCATTCCTCCCACATGATATCTGCTGACTTGTGCTAGAACACGATTTCCTGAATTCCGGAGGGCTGAGGAAATTTGTCGTTGTTATTTAACTGTTTTCATTAGCGTAGCCACCAAGCCCTGACCTCATTGTCCTGGAAGGGTAACGACCTAGGGGTTGCAGTTCTTGAGCCCAACCTCCTGGAAAAGCGAGGTATAAAACTCGGGCTCCAGCTGCCTGTTCCGGTACTTATTGACGATGTCTGCGATCTTCTGTTTCCGGCGCACGTGGGGAGGGTTGTACGAGTCACTTTCCAGCCTCTTCCTCCGACAAATGTTTATGACTGTCTGCCTCACTAGAAAACCTGGAAAGAAACATTTGAATCAAGTTTAAACACATTGAACCCTGAGCCCCTTCGCTGGCTTCACAGCTATTTTGGGTTCTGTCCCATCTAAGCCCAGGGGAGATGCTCAGCACCACCAAGACAAGAACTCATCTCCATGAGATAACAGCCAGCCGTGGTCCCCAGGCCTGTGAGGACATGTGACTGTGAAAAATGAAGAAGAAAGGGACTCAGTCAGTGGTACCCTACAGTGGCTGGAGGAGGAGGATTTCTCTGCTTTGCCACAGCCAAGTAGTTGCCTGCAACAGCACCCTCGGGACAAGAGGGCAGAGAATCCAGGGCAGCCAGGACTAGAGCCACAGTGCCACGGCCCTGGCCATGCCACATGAGGACATGTGGAGCTTGGGTGGGCCCTAAGGTTGCATCAGGTAATGCCAGGGGAGCCCTGAGAATGAAAAAAGTACCTGTCAGTACTTTTTTTTCCAGTAGGAATTGCAGAGCCTTCCCCTTGGAAAGGGGACGAGGAAAAACCTGATGGGCTGAGGCTGGAAACAGGTTTCTGTTCCCCTTGCTGCCTTGCCTCTGTCGTCACTCCTCTGCAACTCACACTGCCTGGAGGGAGGAGGAGGTGGGCAACCAAAGCAGCAGCATTTGGCCAAAGCTGGCACTGAACTTTATCTTATTCTGAAACAAAACTCCTGTGCCTCTGAGGCACTAAGTGTCCCTTACCCCTCTGCTGCTCCACGAGCTCTTCCTTTACGGGCAGAAACTTACTTAGAGGACTGAATTCCTGACTGCACACAAACCACCTCTGCTGAACTTAGGGACAAGGCAAATTTCACACTATTAATGGTCCCGATGCAGCTGACAAACCAGCCCAGCTCTGGGGAAGCATACCCGATTCTTTTTCAGGGAAAACCACTGCAACTACTGAATTTGCAAATGTTATTTAAGGGCCCAGTCTGGCTTCAATTTCCCACTGCTGAATTAAGCATGCAAACCCCAGAACTTGAAAGCCTTCCCCAGCAGCCCCCTACAACAGCAGTGTGATGGTTATGCACAGGTATCCTCATGTTCATTACTTCCTTCTGCTTCAGATTTCCAGTTACTGAAGCTAGAGCAGCACCAATACCAGGAGGGATTCATGAATCCACCCAGAACACACAGGGTGGCAGAGGACACACACAGCCCCAGGTTAACACATGCTTGCAGGGTATTTTTATTGAACACGTTAGAAAATCCTCAACTGCTGTGGCTTGAATCCCTATCTGGCTTCTAAAGCAGAAGGAACAGGCAGCTGCCAGCACAGCCACAAGCTCAGCAGTACCCTCTGCAGTCAGCTGGCACCAGCACCTCAGCTCTCCGTGCTACACGCCGGGAGGCACTTACCGTGTCCCTGCCCCGTTCCTAGTTGCAATTCTTCCCCTCTCCTCTGCTCTGCTGGTGGCCAAGCGCTGCCCACCTGCTCCCTCTGCTGTTCCTGCTCCCACAAGGAGCATGGCTTTACTTTGTCCTGCCATGCCCAAGTCTTTTTCCAGTGAAACATTCCACACTACGTGTTTTGCAGACATATTATTATTAAAAAACACCAAACCAAACCAAACCCCACGAGCGTTCCTAAAACCCTTTAGCTTACCCAGAGCTCTCCTACTGACTATCATTCCATCCACCAGTGGGATAACCATGTTGAATTTCCCAGTTGCTCCTTGCAGTTTTATCCTGAATAAGCCAGTGTTTAAAGGATGGATAAAGATCACAGGAACTTCCTTCTCAGGAATCGTAGATCTTATGGGAAAAAACACAACTTAAATCAGCACGATGTCAATTAACTTTACATAGATGAGAAATGAACATTTTAAGTGTTAAAAGAAAGTTAAAAAATGCCTCATGGCTAAGTCAGGTTGGATAAAGCTTTGAGCAACCTGGTCTGGTGGGAGGTGACCCTGCCCAGGGAGGAGAGTTAGGACTAGATGATCTCTAAGGTCTATTCCAACTCCTTAACACACTAGGAAGGTACAAGGATGCTGGGGCCCCTCAGGACTCTATCAGTGGTACTGTGCCCATGACCTCCTGTTCCCACAGCACTGGAGAGCTCTGCAGCCAGGGCAGTGAATCAGGAAGGAGGCTCACCACAGACTTGGGTAAAACTTAATTAACCATTAATTAACTTCCTTAATTTATGTTTGAGCTGCACAGATATGAAAAGCACTTTCCAATAAAAGTTCACCGAGGAATCAACAAAAATACTACAGTTAGAGCAGCCTTACCTCAGGGAAGTGCTACTATTGGCTGTTGTTTCCACACCAGTGCTAGTCTCAGACACCAGATCAGGGAGGGGGAAGTTTTCTGTAAGAACAGGATGTACCAAATGAAGTTTATCTCCTCCAACTTTGGATTTTTTGTGTGTACAAGGAAAGATTATTTATCATCAGTCAAACCTACACAGTGTTCAAGCATTTATGCCATAGGTGTTCTTGCACAGCTAGTGTCTGTGTTTTTAGGTTTAAGTATTCCTGGAGTATACAGACACACCTCAGTCATCTGCACACAACAGATGAGGTCCCAGACCCTCCATTCTCTCAATCCAAAGGTCAAAATCTCTAGCAGAACTGCAAAAGCAGGGAGGAGTTGAACTACTTCAAACACAAAAAAACCTTTCAAATTCTGATTCACACCATCTTCACCCATCCACAAGTAATCCTTGAGAACAGTCCCAGGAGTGTCAAACAATGCCACCACTCACACCCACAGTTCCCTTGAGCTCTGCTCCCACCAACATGCAATCCCTCCTCAAATCCAAGCTCTGTAGGTCCCCACCACAACCCACAACTCTGCTGCCATCCACTTGGTAACAAGGACTGGGTAATGAAGGTGCAGGAGGAGAGAAACTTGGAACCCTGGAAGGGGTTTGGAACTTCCAGTCACCTTGTCTAGGGGCTGATATATGTTGAGTCATACACAAAAGTACAGCTGAGGCAAGAGGACAGTGCTTCCAGCAGGAGTATAAGACTCCAAACCAGATTCTGCCATCAGAGCTGGGATGCTGAGAGAACACAACAGCTAGAGGAAGCAGGGGGAGAGCACGGCCACCTATGGAAGTGCCCTGGGATGGAGCAGAGGGAGGACAGGCAGCTGGCACCGGGGTGATAACCTTGACTCCAACGTGACAGCTTCCCCACTGTCCAGACACAAAAATGTACCAGAAGCATAAGGCAAAAGCCAAAAACATAAGGAGCATATGGCAAAGCCCCTGGGCTAGGAGCCACTTCCAAGAGCCCCCTCCTCCTGCCATCCAACTGCCACACGTACTGAGGCTGACAAACTCTTTCCTTCAGCTTCAGGCCCAGAACTTTAGGAGATTCCTATGGCTGCTGAAAGAAGTAGCCAAGCAGAAACATGCCTGTGTAGCACAGCTGCTGCCTCTGCAGTGAGCTGGCTTTAGCTGCCATGCAAGAAGGAAGTGGATCAGGGACACCAGTTTGAAAACTCGAGTGGCTGAGGGACTCCTGGAGACAAAGGAACAATGGGCAAATGTCTGGATAAGGAAACAACGCTGCAGAACTTGCTGTGTGCCTCCTGATCCCAGTAAGGCTCCGAGGGGTGTGCTGCAGACAAGGTGGAAATTTTTCTTGAGAATTTACATCTACACTTAACAGGAAGCTGTCTCTTGATCCCTCCCATTCCCTTGGTTGCTTTACTATAGAAGGAGCTAAGGGTTTAATTAAGGTCCTCACTGCCAGACTGGGAACCAAGATTAGAACTCAGAATACAGCATCAGTTACTGGCTGGTGTTGCACAGACTGCTGGGCTAGGCCAGTGCAGAGAGAGTCTCACACAGCACTGAGGCCAGACCATGGCGTGGAACCAGCACAGAAGTAGCTCTTGGGGACAAAGGACTTCTCAGGCCTACAGCCAGCTGCCACCATGGCCATGCCATGGCTGTAACAGGATGGGCACAGCTGGGGCTCGCCCAGAACAGGCAGTACACAGAGTGAGAGAGGAAACACCAAACTAAGAAACATGAAGTTGCATAAGGAACAGGACTCTGCCTGGGAAAGAGGGCAGAAAGGGAGCTGGGATGCACAGTGAAACGAGCCCTCCCATGATAGAACACAGAGGTTCAAAGGGACCATCAGACCAAGGAGGAGGATGATTCCTTTGGCACAGAAGCAGCAGGTGCCAGAAGTCATTTTTTTAAAAGGAACTAAAACAGATCCACTCAGAGCTGAGGGGGAACTCAAAAGCAGGGAAGCACACTGCCTTGTGTGCTGAGCTTAAGAAGGTGCATGAGAGTTTTTCACAGGGACTGCCAGAGCTAAAAACAATCTTCAGACCTACATATGCCACTGATTCCTGTATACACCATGATCACCACTCAAATATCAAACAACTGTTTCAGAATCTAAAAAGTGTTGTTACAGACAATTAGGCTTTATTTTGACTGTGAAGGTGCTGAGGAACTGGAACAGGATGCCCAGAGAAACTGTGGCTGCTCCACCCCTGGAAGTGTTCTAGGCCAGGTTGGAGCATCCTGGTCTAGTGGAAGGTGTCCCCACCCATGGCAGAGGGTGGGACTGGATGGGATTTAAGGTCCCTCTCAACCCAAACCTCTCTATGACTCCATGATTTAGCATTTTATAGAAAAATGGAATGGAGGTTATCCTCTGGTTCCTGCCCTGGTGTTACTTTAGTGAACAATACAAACTTGTACACACCTATATCATCGTAACGTTCCACCCAGACCACATACACTTTGGTTTCAGGTCCCATCGGTGGAATGGTCCGGCCCTGAGGCATCCTCTTGGATCTGGAAGTAGGACTCAGCTGTTTTGAACACAAGGGAAGAGTGGCATTTGCAAACACCAGAATTCCAATAACACAGCCAGCAAGTATTTCCACAGCTGCTCCTCAGTCATTCAGCTCTCAGCCAGGTACAACCTCTTCCAGCCAGCAGGCTGGGGCAGCTTTGCTGCATCTGCACACTGCAATCTGAGTCTCCACCACACTTACATTCAACATAAAGTGGAACAGGTTGCCCAGGGAGGCTGTGGCTGCCCCAGCCCTGGCAGTGTTCACAGCCAGGTTGGCTAAAGCCTCGAGCAACCTGCTCTGGTGGAAGGTGTCCCTGCCCAGGGCAGGGGTTGGGTCTGGATGATCTCTAAGCTCCATTCCACCCCCTTAATAGTCTATGATAAATTAAAATATTTAATCTTGAACCGTTTAAAGTTTTTCTTGATGTTCTCAAAGACCTTAAATCAGTTACTAAATATACCCCTGGAAGTGAAGTGAATTCTATACAAGCAATCAGCAGCTGTAAATCCTTTGCTTACAGCAGTTCATGGTTTTCTGCTTTGTTACTGTACAAAAGCAACTTCACACCTGGTACTTCAGATACAACTGTTTTAAACTGGGCAGCTATAAAAAGTCTTCATGTCTATCCATCCTCAATTTCCAAGCATGGACTTGATCTGAATTTCTCTGTAAACACTGCAAATATTTTTTCCTTCAGGCATTTCAAGGTTTCAGGATGCGCAGTAATACTCCTTAGCATGGCTAAGCTTTATATTTAATTAATGTAATCTTCCAATCTCCTGCAGCAGGTGCAAATTTTGGCAGAACCAGAACAGACATCAAAGATTAATGGCAAGGAATGAGTAGCTCCACATGCCAGGAAACCAAATCATATACTATCAGAAATGCCACAGGATTGCCAGTGTGTTTCTGGAGAGAAAAAGGGGAAAAAAAGTCATTTCTCCATGCAAGTTTTGCCTTACCCGTTGGGAGGGATTAAGATTGTCTGTATGATTGGGGAAGAGTTCAAGTGTCAGAGGCTGTTGCTTCAATATCCCTGGCAGCAGATCCATGTTGGAGTCACTTTCTTGGTCAGAGACACTGCTTTCCAGTGAATCAGCTGTAAGCCAGAAGGAAAAAATGGTGAGTTTTGTCCATTCTTCTGCCAAAACACTTGAGCTGTCATCATATGTAAGGTTTTGAAACCAGAAAAGGTTGCAAGGTGTTTGAAACTAAACATACATAGATGTACAGTCAAGGCAATACAGCACTCATTAGCTGGAAGAGGAGGCAGCAGAGGACAACTGTCAGTTATTCCAGAAACAGACTGCAAATAAAGCACTCCCTACGGATTTACAAGTGTTCCAGCAATTTCCTATGGAATACACTGTCCTCCTTCCTATGGCTACAACCAGACAACTTTTGCACATCAGTTTTAGTGTGCCAAAGATGCCACAAAAGTTGTTGCTTCCCTAC